CGCGCCCGCAGCGCCCCCTGCCGGCCGCGCCGCGCACAGCTCCCGGGGGGGCGGGGGGCACCCGCGGGCGCGCACCCACCGGTACCGGGGCCACGGTCCCATCCCCGGCACCGCCTTCCCCTTCTCGGCACCGCTTTTCCATCCCCGGCACCATGGTCCCATCCCCATGTTCCCATCCCCGTCCCCACATTCCCATCCCCATCCCCATGTTCCCATCCCCACGTTCCCATTCCCATTCCCATCCCCATCCCTGTCCCCACATTCCCATCCCCATCCCCACATTCCCATCCCCGTCCCCATGTTCCCATCTCCATCCCCACGTTCCCATCTCCAGCACTGCATCCCCATCCCCGTCCCCACATTCCCATCTCCAGCACCACACTTCCATCCTCAGCACCACATTCCAATCCCCACCACCATGTTCCCATCCCCACATTCCCATCCCCAGCACCGCATGCCCATCCCCATCCCCATATTCCCATCCCCATCCCCATGTTCCCATCCCCGCGTTCCCCTTCCCATCTCCCACATCTCCATACCTATCCCCACTTTCCCATTCCCATCCCCACATTCCCATCCCCATGTTCCCCTCCCCAGCACCATGTTCCTATCCACACGTTTCCATTCCCATCTCCCACATTCCCATCCCTATCTCCACGTTCCTAACTCTGGTACCATGTTCCCATCCCCACTTTCCCATTCCCATCCCCATTCCCACATTCCCATCCCCACGTTCCCATCCCTGGCACCATGTTCCCATTCCCACAATTCCATTCCTATCCCTGTCCTCACATTCCCATCCCCACATTCCCATTCCCATCCCCATGCCAGGCCTCCTATCCCAGCTCCGCGGAGGCTCCGACCGCCGGTGCTGCCCAGCCGGGGACGCTGATAAAGCCGGGTGTTGGTCGGGCTCTTGCTAAAGGAAGGAGGAGATAACGGTGGGGACTCCCCACTGGGGGGGTTACAGGGGGGTTTTTTCCTTCTCCCACCCAACGGCACCCACAGGGAGCGGTGCCTCCCCCCTGGCTGGGGCTGTGCTCCCAGAGCCAGGGTGGAACAGACTGGGAGAGCTGGGGGGGTTCAGCCTGGAGAAGAGAAGGCTCCAGGGAGACCTCGGAGCCCCTTCCAGTCCCTCAAGGGGCTCCAGGAGAGATGGGGAGGGACTCTGGATGAGGGAGGGGAGCCCCAGGAGGAGGGGGAAGAGTTGGACCCTGCAAGAGGGGAGATGGAGCTGAGCTGTGGGGAAGAACTTGTTTGGGGTGAGGGTGGTGAGAGCCTGGCCCAGGTTGGCCAGAGAAGCTGTGGCTGCCCCATCCCTGGAGGGGTTGAAGGGCAGGTTGGAGGGGGCTTGGAGCAACCTGGTGTGGTGGGAGGTGTCCCTGCCCAGGGCAGGAGGGTTGGAACACAATGATCTTTAAGGTCCCTTCCAACCCAAACCAGTCCATGATTCCATGAATCTATGAATCCTGCCATCACTCAACGGGCAAGGAGGGTTAGTGAGGTGGCCACAGCCCAGGAGGTTCATGGCCACAGCCGTGTCCAACTGCACTTAAAGGGTGCAATGGAGCTGGTGGGACTTACTGCACGGGGCTCGGAGAGGTCCCCCCACCCCGACAGGGTGCCACCGCTCCCAGGAGAACGGTGGAGGAGGATTCCTGCAGGATG